ATACATTTTTTTTTTCAACGTTTATTTATTTTTGGGACAGAGAGAGACAGAGCATGAACGGGGGAGGGGCAGAGAGAGAGGGAGACACAGAATCGGAAACAGGCTCCAGGCTCCGAGCCATCAGCCCAGAGCCCGACGCGGGGCTCGAACTCACGGACCGTGAGATCGTGACCTGGCTGAAGTCGGACGCTTAACCGACTGCGCCACCCAGGCGCCCCTTAAATTTCTTCCTTAATTGCCTGCTTGACCCATTCATTCTTTAGTAGAATGTTCTTTACCTCCATGCATTTGGAGACTTTACAAATTTTTTCTTATGGTTGATTTCAAGTTTCGTAGCATTGTGGTCTGAAAATCTGCATGGTATGATCTCAGTTCTTTTATGTTTATTGAGGCTGTTTCGTGACCCAGTATGTGATCTATCTTGGAGAATGTTCCATGTGCACTCAAGGAGAATGTGTATTCTGCTGCTTTTGGATGTGTTCTGAATATATCTGCCAAGTCCATCTGGTTCAGTGTATAATTCAAAGCCATTATTTCTTTATTAATTTTCTGCCTAGATGATCTGTTCATTGTTGTTAGTGTATATTAAAGTCCCCTGCAATTACTGTATTCTTATCAATAAGATTGCTTATGTTTGTGATTAACTGATTTATATATTTGGGTGCCTTCATGTTGGGGGCGTAAACATTTATAATTGTTAGCTCTTCTTGATAGATAGACCCCATAATTATGATATAATGCCCTTCTTCATCTCTTGTTACAGTCTTTAGTTTAAAATTTAGTTTGTCTGATATAAGTATGGCTACTCCAGCTTTCTTTTGACTTCTAGTAGTGTGATAGATTGTTCTCTATCCCCTCTCTTCAAGTCTAAAATGAGTCTCTTGTAGACAGCATATAGATGGATCTTATTTGTTTATCTATTCTGATACCCTATGTCTTTTGATCGGGGCATTTAGTCCATTTACATTTAGAGTTATTATTAAAAGATATGGATTTAGTGTCATTGTTACCTGTAGGTTTCATGCTTGTGGTAATGTCTCTGGTCCTTTGTAGTCTTTGCAACGTTCCATTCATAGCGTGGACTTAGTAGTCATGAACTCCTTTAGTTTTTGTTTGTCTTGGAAAGACCTTATCTCTCCTTCTATTCTGAATGACAGCCTTGCTGGATAAAGGATTCTTGGCTGCGTATTTTTTCTATTCAGCACTTTGAATATTTCCTGCCACTGCCTTCTGGCCTGCCAAGTTTCACTAGACAGGTTTGCTACTACCTTTATGTGTCTACTCTTGTAGATTAAAGCCTATTTTTCCCTACTTGCTTTCAGAATTCTCTATCTTTGTATTTTGCCGGTTTCACTATGATAATGCCATGGCAAAGACCTATTCTTGTTGAATCTGAAGGGAGTTCTCTGTGCCTTCTGGATTTGGATGTCTGCTTCCTTACCCAGATTAGGAAAATTGTCAGCTATAACTTGTTCATGTAAACCTTCTGCCCCTTTCTCTCTCTCTTCTTGTGGAACTCCTATGATATGGATATTATTAAATTTCATTGAATCACTTAGTTCTCTAATTCTCCCCTTATTGTCTAGTATTTTCTTATCTCTCTTTTTCTCGGCTTCATCATTTTCCGTAATTTTGTCTTCTATTTCACTTATTCTCTTCTCTGCTTCCTCCATCCTTGCTGTCACCACCTCTAGTTTATTTTGCACAACATTTTCTTAATTCATCGTGACGATTTCTTAGTTCCTTGATCTCTGTAGCAATAGATTCTCTGCTGTCTTCTAAGCTTTTTTTTTCAAGCCCAGCTATTAATCTTATGACAATTATTCTTTCTTGATCAGATATATTGTTTATATCTGTTTTGAGCAATTCTCTAGCTGTCATTTCTTCCTGGAATTTCTTTTGAGGAGAATTCTTTGTTTTCATCATTTTGGCTAGTTTTCTGTCCCTTATGTGTTTTAATAGCTTATTACATGTCCTGCACCGGCGAGCACTACTATATTAAAAAGGGGTCATACATGTCCAGGGTCTGGCCCTTCAGGATGTGTTTTGGAGTCTTTGTCTTCAGAGAGAGAGAGAGAGAGGAAAATAAATAAGAAGGAGATATAGAGGAAGTATAAAAAGAATAGATTAAAAATGTTTGGTTAAACAAACCAACAACCAGAATAGAGAAGGGAAGAAAGAAGAGGAAGAAAGGGAAGGAAAAAAATATTACATATATGTTATATATAAAATAAGAGTTGACCAAGAATCAAATCAGAAAATGCAAAACTGCTAGACCAATATCTGATGGTGCCTTGGAACTGGTGACTCTACTGGTCTGCAGGAGGGGCCATCTGGTTCTGTCATTGTCAATCTTGCTCTGGTAGATACTCAGCTACCAAGCAAAGAGGGGTGTGGTTTGGTATAGGCGGGTCCAGCCTCCACAGTGGGCCTTTTTTCTGTTTTCTGAAGCCCCACCTTTTTGGTGATGGGGAGAAAAATATTGACACCCCAGTCTCTCCTCCCCAGACCAGATTACCCAAACCACTGTGTTCAGGCTATTCTCACAGTGCAGCACCTGCACGAGCAGCCCGTGTGTCCCGTTTGTCCCGTTCCACAGCTTCCTGTGCCTCCCAGGCACTTGGCTGGGATTCAGACTGGCCCTGAATTTAAAGGATCCTGCTCCAATGCCCCAGTTCCAGTGTAGTGCCATTTTGCCCAGCCGGCAGACAGAGGGCCTCTGGCTGGTGGGTGTCTGCAGGATCTTTTGTCCGTGGAGCTGCTATATACCTTCTTACCACAGCACCCAAGGGAGACGACTGCTCTCTCTGACTGCCCTCTGAGCTAGCTACCCAGCCTGGGGCTGGCTCCTCCTCCCCATCAGGAGAGTGTACAGTGTGTCTGCTCCCAGTCCAGAGAAAGTCCTGCAACTCTGGATTGTGTTAGAAATTGGTTCTTTCTCCTTTTTTCCCGTTACCCAGTCTGTGGGTTTTCTCTTGTTCAAATACAATCCTACACTTCCACACCCTCTCTTTCTCTTCCTTTTGTCTATCCACAGAAGGGGATCCCTCTCCTCTCTGCCTACGCCATGTGTTTTATCTCTCCCAATTCATAATCACGCATCTATGGCCTACCAATTTGTCACCAAGGGCCCCTTGAGATGTTTCTGTCACTCTGTAGCCGAGATTCCTGAAATTCTAAGTCTCCTGACCTCAGTACTGCTGTGTTTGAGGGATAAGGGAACTTCGGGTCCCCCTACTTCTCCACCATGTTGACTCCTTTCAAAGAAGACTTTAAAAAAAATCTCTTTTTATTGTAATTGTCACCTATTCTTTAGTACAAAAGGGACTGAAATATAATCTTTATTTTAAACCAGAACATATTTTAAGCCCAACTGTTGCCTCTAGATTGGGAGGTGTGAATCTGTGAGTTACATAAACAGATTACATTTTAAATCTCTGGGGTGGCAGATAAAGTTCTGCATTCCATTTAATTGAGAACAGAAAGCAAGGTCTGATCCCAAATACTGCAATTGGGTTAGCTTATTTCTAATATCAAAATATGTAAATGTGCTTACATTTAAAGGACAAAAAGTATCATCCTTCCATAGCTACTTATGTACAAATTTTCATTTATTCATGCTGCTCTTCCCTTTGCATGTGCCTAATTCAATGGTTTGCATCCAGGTTCCAGTAAGGAAGGCTGTCTGGATACGAGTTTAGAAGTACAAAATGGGCTGAATTTGACCTGACATGTTTGGTCTGCCCAGTGTTTTTAAATATTTGCATAAATTACAAATTAGGTGATTTTATATTTATGTAAAAGTCCAGAGTTCATGTTCCTTTTGAAAAGTATTGAGGAACTGGCAACATGGTACAATAATTGACTTGAGCTGAACATTGAGGAACACTTTTAGACAGGACGTGTACTTCTGTAGTCTGAAGAAACCCCCACTTGTCCTGCTTCATTTATGCCTGTGTCTGTTCACCTCCTACAAGAATGTGAGTTTGGAACGTTTGGTTTAATCTTACTGTAACAGTAGCCAATCGAGCCACATTGGTTAAATGATACCTTTGACACCAAATAAAGGTCTAGAGATAATTAGCGGTAGAGCTTAGATTATAATATAGGTCACTTCACTTTTAATCCATTGATACTGGTACCATCTATTCCAGATCTTAATTTTTCTAACATTCAGTTTTCATAGTTGTTAGGTTGAAAATAATAAAAATACTGATATCATGTAATTGTTGCACAGGTGAAATATTACTTGTCATTGTCATTGTCAGGTTTATATCTGTAGCGAAATTTTAACCATTTCTACCAATACTTTTTTTTTATTACAGCTAGTACATCTTTATTATTTCTGTATTCTGTATATAAAGTGGTGACACTTTATATATGCACAGTGTTTTTAAATGTTTGCATTTAATTACAAATTTGCGAATAAAATACAAATTAAAATTCATATATATATATATGAACTTCTGGGTTTAACATGACTTTCTGATGCTTTTGTAGAGTGGTATTGTTATTCAATATGTTGCTATACTTAAGACCTAAATATTTCTACACATAAATATTGTTCATAGTCTTAAATGATACTCATTTTTCTATATGAGTAATTGATGTCCCAGGTACTGTATACTCATGTAAATACTTGTGAATGTGTTAACAAGAAACATTAAATTTATGTCATGAAGTATTAAATCAAACTCCCTTTATATTTAATAACATCTGAATGTGCATTTTTTTCTAATAAAATTATTTTGTAGATAATCAAAACAACAATAAAAATGAGAATATGAAGATCTGAGTGTGTTTATTAGCATGCTGAGTACAATTTAACTCCTAGAACTGAAGTGAGCTCACAAAATAATATAATACCATTGACTAATACCTGACACATGGAAGGGTCAAAACAAATTGTTTATTATCTTAAATACTTCTGTGCTTTAAGACTTTAGAGTTTTATTATGTTACATTTAAAAAGAGAATTTAATTTAGTTTTATTTTTTCAGAGTACCTTCAAATTTAAATCTGAGAGTGACATTCATTTGGCAGAACATCATAAACAGGTTCTGTATGATGGGAAACTTGCAAGTAGCATTGCATTTACATATAATGCTAAGGCCACTGATGCGCAACTATGCCTGGAATCATCACCAAAGGAAAATGCATCAATTTTTGTGCATTCCCCACATGCCCTAATGCTCCAGGTAGGTGAATAGTAGCTTAGTTTCCATATTTTCATTGAGTATTAACAGTATCTATTTTACGTATTAAATATTACCAACCTATAGGTCTACAGTTGGTATTTTTTTTTTTTCATCTTCTAGTTCTTTGCATGACATTTTTGCCTTCTACCTTATTTTTTTATTTTAATTTTTTGGCAATATACTTTACCTTGGACTAGTCAGTCTCGTTAGTAGGGAATCTATCATTTCTGTTATCTTATCTGTTATATATCCTTTGGAAAAAAAATCATTTGATTAGCTGAACAGATAGCTGTTAGACACAAAAATATACATTGCTTTAAGGATGTACTAATATAACTCCCCCACATAAAAATTACTTGAATGTCTTTAAATCTTCTGATGGTATTTCTTATTCTAAATTATTTTTCCATTTATAGCTTCATATTTCAGTATAAAAATCTCAATGTAAGTTTCAGATTTAAAGTGGTTGGCAAAGATATTTCAAGTTTTTATTTTATATGTGTATCAAAAATTATATAACTGAGGGCTTTAAAAATGTCAATATTTTTGAAATTCTTTTTACAGAGTTATTTGGAACAAGGAAATAATGATAACTTATGCCTCAGAAATTTAATACACATTTTTGTTTTTGAACATAGGATGTGAAAGCTATAGTAACACATTCAATTCATAGTGCAATTCATTCAATTGGAGGGATTCAAGTGCTTTTTCCTCTTTTTGCCCAACTGGACAATCGTCAGCTCAATGACAGTCAAGTGGAAACAACTGTCTGGTAAGTTTTCTTTGAATGTGTAATTTGTACACACTTAGATAATGCCTGACATCCTTGGTGCTGTGTAAATGTGTTGTAAAATTTGGTTTTTATCCCTGACATGCTAATAAAAGCTTCTTTAGGACTAAGGCAGATACAAATTTACACATTATTAAGACTTGACACAATCATAAAGGAATGACTTCCTTGATAATAAATGAAAACATCTTACTAGATGTAGCATAGTGATTATAATACAAGTTGAGGAAAAATGGTAGTCCCAACCTTAGCCTTTGGAGATGCTTATGGTTTGGATCATCCATGAAATCCTGTCGGCTTTAAAAAAATTACTAGGGTAAAGTTTATTTTGAAGAATACTATTTGATAACAGTTATATAACTTACATGTTAGTATTATTTTATAATGATATTATCAAAAGACCAGCATAATATTAAAAGATATTAGCTTTCCTTTAAATACAGTTCCTGTATGAGAACCCAGATATACCCAAGGTATATCTGTATTTATATAATTCAGTTATTTTCTGATTAGGTTGATTTTATGTGTAATTTTTGTAGTTTCCTTCCTTTTTATTAAACATACCTCATGCATAAAATTTTATATTTTTTATATTTAATTTTATAGCTTAGAATCATTTATGTAAGTAGTTAAATGTGAGTTTTAAGAATGATTTTTACTGTGTACATTGCTATGTTTGGAGAATTTAAAGAGAAAATTGTATAGGTAAACATTCATTTTTACTCCAAAAGCAATATAGGAATGCTTCACTAGTATGTACACATATGTATGAAAGTCTTCCAATTTTGAATTGTTGGAAAACCTAGTGAATGAAGCAAACAAAGGTGGGAAAAATTTCAAGTCCGTTGAAGTGTAACGTGATTTTCTCATATTTATTATCTAAAGTTATTAACAAAATTCTATTTTAATATTGCTAATAATATTATCCCTGTATTGAGACCATCTTTATGTAAAGTATAAATATGCATATAAATGTGACCTGTACATTTACAACACTGAGCTCCATGGGTCATGCTTTCTTTTATATCAGTGTAAAGGTTGAAGTCTTGAAGTTAAAAGGAATCTCGAGATCATACCCTGCTGTGATACTACTTTGCTACAAGATCTTAAGTAATTTCATTGGGTGGCATATCAGCCTAGTGGAAAAATAAAACTTTAAATTTCCATCCTGGATCTAAATTCAAAATGTTTTGCTCTTTATCATCCAAGTGAACCAGTATACATTGTAATCAGTAATTAAAAACTTAGTGCTATGAGAAGAAATTGGCAGAGGAAGTAGCCAGTAGAAAATTCCCATGTGTAATTTAAATATTCCTTATGAATTAATATTGTCCATAGTTATTCTAACCTGAAATGGAATTTGTTGCTTTGCGAATAAAATTAGAAAGATTATGGAGTTTGAAATGTTATAACTAAAACAAACTATCACAGTAATTTATGTCTACATGAATAGCTATTATAAAATCTTAGTGCTAAGATCATATTTTAACAGGTTATCTGGTCCATTCATCCAAGGCACATGGTTATTTTTCATTGCCTGTCTTCAAAACTCATTTTGATATTTACACTATATTTTGGTATCTTAAACTGTATTTATTTCATCATGGAGATAGAAGACAATGTAAACAGTCAACATTCTGATTTTCATTTTTATTTGTTTTTAGTTCTTTTATGTCACTCATCTTAACTTTTCTCTGTAATAAATAACTTCAACTTTTGCAATGATATATATGTTCTTCTTAGTTTAAATCCAACAGAAAACATATAATAAGAAAAGTATCACTATCCTCTTTAGTAATCATACATACCCAATTCCAAGCTACCCTGCAGTTAATTCAGTTATGTGCTATTTTGAATTCTTATCTAATACTTTTACATTAATTGTGTCCAAGCCCTTGATGTTTGAGGTTGGCTCTTTTGTGGACAACTGTATCTATCAGCAGTATAGTCTTTTGTTATTTAAAATATTGAAAGGGGGGGCATTATAGATAAGTGTGCACATCAGTGATATGGTCTTTCAGTGATATGGTCTTTCTAACATTTAAAATGTTAAAGTTGTTAAATGGGACTTCTCCCTCTACTTGAAGAACATAGATTCTTAGCTGTAGGACAAGGGTTGGTAGAATTTCTTGTTTCCTGGCTATCTCCTAAACTCATATAGATGAATGAGACCTTGAAATAGGGTATACCATCTTATTTTTAGTTATTATTGAATTATTCTAAATCAATGAGAATCTATTTAAAGTTTTTAAATTTCCAGAGAAAATTAGATACACTCTTTTCTGAAAATCTGTTTGCATAATAAGCATATGCCAACAATTGTAATATTATCTAATTCTTAATTACTTTATGGAACAATTGAGCTAAGCTATAAAGTTAGTTACTTCTCTGTCTTCTGTGTTTCAAGCTGAAGTATTTAGTTTCCATGTACTTTCGTCTACTTAGCAGTCCATTTTTATGAAACTTTGTATTGTTTCTGCAAGCTTTACCTCTCTGTTGGCACTGTTACACTGTCCTTACAAATCTTGATGAGTTTTATTCTATATAAGAGGCTTTGTATTAAAATGATTTATGACATAATTATCTTATTTTTTGGAGCCTTTAAAGGTAGGCTTTGTGAGAGTTTTTGTGGCTTTGTTTTATTATGAAAGCTATGTATTATAGTTGTTATATGTGTGGACTTTAAAGTCAGACAGACTTGGGTTCAAATGCTGAGTTTACTGTATTATTAGTACACCTTTGTTAACAATTTTGTGCTTCAGCTTCCACCATTATAAAATGTAGTAATAATAGCTCATTGGATTCTTTAGATTAAATGTGATAAAATATATAGATCGATGTAGTAAACAGTACATGCTTTTGTTATCCTGATGACATTGGGCTAGGCGATATGTAAGATTATCTCTAATACTACAGTTTTATATTTAAAAAATGATATATTATTAATCTTGGAAGTTGGTTATTATAATACAGGCTGTATTACTTTGTATTTGAACTTCTTTCTACCAGTGATATAGTATTTACAATAGAGAATTACTGAAGTAATGAAGTAGGACTTATATTTTGAACTTTAGTTGTAGTGATGAAAACTGGTTTTGAACTGTCCATTTTCTAGATATAGTGGCTTAAATAGAGGATGTGTTAACTCAAGTTTTGAAGCCAAACACCAAGTCAAAGAAAGCCTGGAAGGGTTTAAGATGAGTTTTCTGTAACTAGTTTTTTGATTTTGTATAGCTGCCCCTTTAGTATTTAAATCTCCAGGAATAACACTTCCTATCGCCTTCTATTTTAACATGTAATTTTAGCTTTTATTATGGCACAAAAAAATTAACCAACAAAATGAATAGATAATATTCAATAGATAATAATTCAATAATATTGTTGAATTGAGTTAAATAGCTTGTGGCAACACAAACAGTATATTTGATGTTACCTGTTTTTGAATAAGTAAATTAGGCCAATATGTAATTACCATTGTGATTTCATTCTATTCATAATGATTCTCAAGCACTGTGATCACCTTGATTAATTGTGTCAAGTGATCAAAGCTATTTGGATGTTTTGTCATTTCTCAGCAACTAATACTATTTTGCATTGGATGCGTCAATCTTAGTCCAGTGAATATTGAAAGCAATGACTAAACAAATTGCCTTCCATTAGACATTTAATAGTCAATAACTTAAAGAATAAATAAATGATTAACAAATTATTTCAAGAAAGTATAACTCCAATCTTGAAGTAATCATATTTTTTTATATCTAAGAATGACTCAATACATTAGAAATTTCATTTTCCTTTGATTTGGATGATCAGATACATTGACTGTACATGACATTCTTTCTCATTTGGCCCAGCCTCCTTTTTTCAAGAACATATGTTATTAAATTCTGTAGGTGATATAAAACAAATCTTCCTTATTGTGTGTTGTGGGAAGAATTTGCTTTGGAAAATGTTTTCTAGTGCAAGGTATAAATAGACTTTTGTATATCAAGCAATTAAAAATACACTAAGGAAGAAATTCTCATTAGAGACAGTGTGATGCAATAAGCAGGACTTCCTTTGGTGTCAGACAGATTAAGACTCACACCAGTGTTGTGTTACGTACTTTCTGATTTTAGGTGATGGGTTGTTCAAGGATGTGTAGTACTAGTTGTACATGGCATGTACTGAGTACTTAACTATGTGCCAGCCTCTGTAACTGTGTTATCTCATGTACTACTTTTCTGCTGATGAGGGAGAGAAAAACCGAGTAACTTCCTCAAGGCACGAGATTTAAGTGGCAGATTAGAACCAGGATCCGAATCCTGAAAGCCTGATTCCAGAGCCCTCCCTCTAAACCAATGTGGGCAACTCTGAGAATCACTTTTGCCAGCTGTGGTATGATTTTCATAATGCCAACTTTATCTGAGTATAAAATGAACTAAACTAAGATAGTACGTGTTGAAGTATCTACCATATTATCTGGTACATAATAGGCATTGAATGTGTTTTCTCTCTTTCCTCAGTAAATATTAGATCACTATTGATGTGATATAATTTTGTATTACTAAATTTTATTTTTAATGCGATTTTAATTCTGAAAAATTTTATAAGCTAAAATTCAATTTCAAGTGATAGTTTCAATGAATTCTTTTAAGTATGTAAATATTTTTCTGAGAAAAGTGTTCTTTTTGATTTTAGTTATGATATAAGCTGTTTGGTAGACTGCTTGATGGAATATAAGATATAAAAAAGATTTAGAGAATCCCACAAGGCATTTATGTCTGTGACCTATCATTAAGAATCTTCTTGTAATGTGAATGTTAAGAACTCATCAATTTGTTTAGTGAATTTAAATGAAGTTTTTTTTTCTTAAAATGTATCTTGCTCATCAGTTCTTCCAATGATTATCTTGAATTTTATAGTCCCCTTAATAACTAAGAATTTCCCTTAATTAAAAATTTCATTGTAAATTCCTGACTAGCACTATTGTCATATGTAAA